ATATATATATATATATCACCTTACTAATGCATGAAAATGCCTATTTCACTTTCATTTTTAAATTAAAATTGTAATATTTTTATGTAAAATTAAAAATTTGAGTGGTATAAATATAAATATAAATAAAATAAAATTTATGTGGTAGATATGTGAATACATAGGAATTGGATGGTTCTGTGAAGGAAAATAAAAAAAAAATGTTGCCCTATCATTGGCAAGGACTCAAATTAAAATTTTTAAAAAATTTAAAAAATATATTTTAAAGCTTATTATCCACAGTTTAAGGAAATTGAAGCGATGCGTTTTAATTAGGAAGACTGTTGGCAAACTAACATACTCAGATATAATTAAGTTAATGCATAATTTAACTCATATAATGGCAATGATATTGAAAAATAATAATATCATGGACACGTAAATATGGCAGAAAAATAATGTATTGCTTCATTGTACGTCTAATCTAAGGGTTATGAATTTAGCTTGAAGATTATTAATCACTCAAAAATTGATTCAAAATATAGCTCGGATTGAAATAAACGGGTGAAGCTATGAGCCATACTTAGGTCAAAATTTTTTTTTGGGCTTGTTTTGAGCCATACACTGATCAACTTAAACTATTTTTTTTTTTAATTTATAGAACTTATATATAATGCTAAATAAAGATGAATATAATGAGTTACGAGGCGATTTCAAGTTTGCACGGATTCAAATAACTCAATTTGAGCTATCGTGTTTGATTTCGAGCCAATATCGTGTTGTAACAGTCCAAATAACTCAAATATGAGCCATCTCCTTTCTACTTCAAGCCAGATCGCTCTTGATTCGATTTTGATTGAGCCGAGTTGTCTCAAAATCAAACACCCGAAGCCAATTTCAAGTTGAGTTTGATTTCCAGTTCGCCTCAACTCATCCCTACTCTAATATTTTTAATATGAAAAGTTCATTTTCATAGCCAAAAAATAGATAAATGAACCAATTTATAGACACAATGATGGGTTATTTAGCATCATCAATTAAATTAAACTAAAAAGAGGAAGAGGTGACCCACCACTTAATGTTGGAGGGAGATTTCACAAATGCATTGAAAATGTGAAGAATTATGGAGAAAGTCAAAAAGGATATGTAGTTAGTGGAGAATACTAAGAGATAACAACAAGATTCGAATATCAAATAGTGGGTTTTAGGTAATTGACATCTATAGCACTCTTACACTTTGATGATGTCATAGATTTTGACAATGATGCTTTGATTTAGCAATTATTTATCACATGATAAATGATGACTACAACAAAAGAAGTTCTTAATACTAATGAGTTACACTAAAATATAGTTGTCACAACTATTCTAATATCGTTTATGAGTCCTTAGATGTAGGAGTTCACTCCATTGAATATTTATTCATAAAATTTCACGATGAACAATGTAGGTAATATGGTCGTTTAAGATCCGCTCTAAAACCTTTCTCATTACTATTATCGGAGTAGGCCTACTGACCCACCTCCCATGTCTCCTCCGACACCCCTAGCGTCCAGTTTACCAATTTTACTTCTCAATCTATACCTTCCACTACATTTCCAGACATTACTCCAACAAAATCGGTCGAATTACCAACTAACTTTAATTTCAACCAGTTATTTACCGACTCAATTAGTGACTAAATTTTCAAACTCTTAAACTACTGATTGAAAATTTTAGTCTGTAAATTTATCAGTTAAAATTTCGGTCATTAATAAGTCGAACGCCATATTCTACCAAGCTCGAGCAACCAAACCTACTCATTTCTTCATCTATTTCGTATCGAGTGATAGGCTTCGGGTGATTCTCAATGATCTTCTCTGTTGATGCGTGGCGATCTTCTAGCTTTGGCAACACTCCAAAACATTGAGGAAAGTGAGCCTCATATTTCTCTCCCTTGTTTTCCTCCTCGCGTTAAGGTTTAAGGTCTTGACTTGGATTCTTTGCTCGAATTATGTTGAGTCTAACACTTTAATTTCAATTTCCAAAACTCATTGAAATTCCCATGTGTTTACATGCTACCTTTAGGGTTAGAGTTTTGATAAACATATCATTCAATTCTTATGTTATTCATATCTAATACTTACACTATAATTTTGACAGCTCGTGACTCAACTCCTATGTGTTATATGCTATCTTAGTTAGGGTTAGCATATAAATTTACATGCATAATACTAAATTTCTATGTATCTGCATTGTATAACATTTAAACTCTATTTTTTAAATACATGACACTATAATTATGCATGAAAATATGTACGACGTTTTAAAAGTTAGGTGTTATTTTTGATGTGATATGAATGATTTTTGTGCCGTAAATATAAAAAGTAGACATTAGGTGTTAGATATGTGAATAAATATGTATTGGGTGGTATGTATGTAAATGCCCCTAGCAATGTTACTCGACTCCTATTGAAATTGAGTTGTATAGCCTTGTTTCAAGTAGAACATT